AACTTTGGATTCCCCTGGATGTATGTGTTTGCTGGCTCTGACCTGGGACTGATACCGACCGTGAGTTTTGTGTTTCGCCTTGTCTTGTATGGTTTTGTTTAGTTTTAGTTCGCTTATTAAAGAGACGGTTTTGTTCATCACTTCCTTGTCTGGCCATTTAATGGGTTCACCAAACACTTTTCGGCCGCATTACGCGCCCCGTTTCTGACACCATAGTCAAGTCTGAAGTAGCAACAAAAGCCTGAATTTAAACTAAAACTAGAAAGTATACTCTACAAATATAAATGTTTTCATTTTGCACTAATCTAAACGCAAAGCGATTCCTTACCTTCTTTTTCCTTGAAACAGATTTTATAGATGTTGCCTCCAACCTTTTCAATCATCCCACAGTCGCCTCCCCCAGAATCCCGTCTTTTCTGAAAGTGTCTCCTGATCTTATCCTTCTCTCTGTCTGTCAGATCCTTTGCTTCAAAAAACAGTGGATGCTGGTATTCATCCATCCTGCCTCAAATTCTGAACATTAAGAAAAACTGAATAACAACGGCACTCCTGTCTGCCTCTGTACTGAGTGAATGGTGCTCTGTGTAGAACCCTTTCTTTCTTTCACTTTCTCCTACTGTGCCACTTCCTGATGAGCAAGTTTTTACAAGCTGGCACTTTACAGGAATTGATCAAGTGTGTGTTTAAGTTGGGTGTCTCCCTGTTTGGCTTGTTGTTCACAAGCTTGTTGGTCAGTGATTAAGGTCATGTTAAGATGATAACATTGATGATGATACTTTAATATGATGTTGATACATGTTTAAGGATTGTTTTTGATGATATTGACATAAGTTAGGTTTTGGAAGTTTGACCATTTGACATGTTGCGATTTCACACCATAGAAAAATAGAAACAAATCCAACATAAACACTGTCACAAGGTGTAAGTACTGGTGTAAACCTGACATCCTCCAGTATTACCACCCCAACCCACCGTCCTACTCAGATTAAAAACTGTACAGATGACGTGTCAACAATGACACGTCAGCTGTCACCCTGACAATATTTATCTCCGCCAAGGAAGGTGTGTGTGTGTGTGTGTGTGTGTGTGTGTGTGTGTGTGTGTTGGTTAGCAGGATTACGGACAAATGGCTGAATGAGTCATTAGCGCACTGTGTACAGACATGGGTGGGGACCAACCGATTTTAGCTGAAAAAGGTCAAGGTAAAGGTCACGAAAATAATGGAAAAAAACATTTCTAGATATGTCAGCTTGCTTTTCATTTTTGAGGCAGGGGTCATTCTGCATCACATTTTCGAGTTAACCTCAGAAAAACTGCAGTGGAAAAAATCACATATGACACTTAAATTGTCTTGCTCTGTTATTGATGACATTCAATTGCATTTTTCAACCTCTTATTATGGAAATATGTAGACAACATGGACTAAATCACAGGATTCTGTTGGATTTTTAAACCAGGTGGTCATTCTCCTGCTCACTTTGCTTGTATTGACCTTGGCCATGAGAGAGAAGGGCATATATAATGTGTATTTTTAAATACAAGTGACTACCTTGCAACAGCAATATCCATCCATTTTCTTCCGCTTATCCGGGGCCGGGTCGCGGGGGCAGCAGTCTAAGCAAAGATGCCCAGACTTCCCTCTCTCCAGACACTTCCCCCAGGAGGCATCCGAAACAGATGCCCGAGCCACCTCAGCTGGCTCCTCTCGATGTGGAGGAGCAGCGGTTCTACTCTGAGCTCCTCCCAGGTGACCGAGCTCCTCACCCTATCTCTAAGGGTGCTACCCCACCCTTAGCAACAGCAATAATGTGGTAAATAATTCACAGGAATATGTCTTTGGAACATATTATCTGTTTTTCTAAGAAAAGTCACTCTTTTAATTGACTGTTACAGTAGCAGCAGGATTTTCTGTCCTTATTAGTGACCACATTTATATTACATGTAGTCATTAGATTCAGTCTCTCACTATGCGAAAGTCAACAATTCTTTTGAGAATCAAGGAGTGTCAAGGGGTAAATCTTTTTCTGCCTGTTTTTGTGAAATATAAAATCTATTTCTTTATATTAATTTCCCTGTACCAATTGAAATATCAACTAAATAATAATACTTCATAATTTTCTGACAATATGTTCTCTATAAGTTTGGGTATAGGAGTCAGTTCTGATAACTGGTTGTCATTTAAACCTCTTTATTTTACCATCAACAAAATCTAAAACTTTACAGTGACCCCATCAATGATACAACACTTTATATGGATTCAAACACATTCAAACTTCCAGAACAGCTCCTAATCAGATGATTTGTTTTTGAAGAAAATTCATTGTGAAACAACAAAAACCATAAATGATGTAATTTAATAAATGAAAGTATGACCTCTATTCTAGAGGTTTTAACTCGCTGGTATCCGAGATAAAGCAGCCCAGGAATAATTAATATATTCTTTAGTTCAGAAAGAAAGAAAAAGAAAAGATTGTTGTGAAAAATGCTCTTTTGGCTGAGCTGTTTGAATGACAGTACCTGACAGGCTCACCTCTGCTGGTAAACAGACTTGCTCTGCAACCTACTGTGCATGTAATGGACAGTAGTGTTAGTGGTATTTAAAAATAAAGACTACATCAGCATCAAACAGACTAAAGTAACATTTGCAAGAAAGTTTACCATCTGTTTAATGCACTGCAGCTGAGTAGCTAATTGGCTAACTAGCTTGTAAACTGGTGTTAGTAGTGAACAGGCTAAGGCACAGGACAAGTTGTGTTCACATGCTGTAGTGAAATAAGGTGTCCATCTTCCTAGCTGCAAAAGAGACATCAATGCAAAACTAGGGTGAGCCATTTTGAAATGAAAAAAATCTCTCTTTTTTTGGTTTCTGAAAACATAGTAATTGTAAATGAATTACATATATTTTCTCAGTAACTAAGAGATTACAATTACATTTATTTTCCAATTTAATTACAGTGACTTGATACATGTAACTAGTTACTCCCCAGACTTGCATTAAAACATAACTATTTTATATTATTCCTAAGACTACGACTGTATTTTCCTACACTTGTGGCCTTTGCACAGTGGAAAATACATCACTTCACCTGAAGGTGATGAGGTAGTCCGGGTAGGCTTGATTATCTTGAAACACAACGTATAGGTCTGGTTGGTGTATTTGGTCCACCACACTGTCATAGAGGTCATGGGGCTGCTGGTAACTGCGAGGAGGAGGCACCTTCATGCTTTTGTGGCCTGCATCGTAGACACCAGTCAGGACTCGGACCACGAACATTGACCGAGAACCATCATGAGCTGGACTGGAGTAACCGACTGACAAGCTGGCGTTTACGGCGAAATAGGTTCCATCACCATATAAAGTTCCTGAGAACAGGAAGAAATGAGGAACTAAGGCTTGTGGAACTAGATTAATTACAAAAAGAAATAGATTAGAACTATAGAACATACTGTATTTTCCCTTTTCAGAGTAATGTAATTTTAACTGTAAATAGGCTATCAGTTCTCTAAACGGGTCCCTTTTTCAATGATATTCTGCTGCATAAGAATTAAAACATTTTATGGAAGTAAAATAACCACTTGTTCAAAATATGGAAAAATATAGGCACTTGTTGCTTTAGATCAGTGTTAATATACTGCTGCTGAAGCAATAATTACTTTTTACTAAAACTGTTCTCAACTTTAAGGAATCTTATAGATTATACTTGAAACTGCATGTACAAGTAAAATTATGTTTGTTTGTTGTGAATCGCACAAAAAGATCATTACCATTGCATCCAGCAAAGCTCCTGTTGAACCCATTTTTCATGATAGGGATGCAGTTGTTCTTGGCTGTGCCATGGTACAGAAGCTTTTCACCTGCTCCACCACAGTGTACATTCTTATCAGACATGTTCTTCTTCTGTGCTTGATAGGCACGAAGCAGATGAACATTCTGCAAACGCTCGATCTGTCAAGAAAGATGAAAAAAGTTCAGCTACCAAAACATTCCTGGAGGACACAAATCTTCAACGGACATAAACAGTTTGCAATATGTTCAACTCTGCAAGATCCTGCTGTCATAAAAATTTATCTAAATGTAAGCTACTAAGCTATTATAAATGAATAATAAATTATAAAATCATCCTATTAAGCTCTGCACAATTGTGAATATATATGTAGATATATAAAATCTAGACAACACATCAATGATGAAAGCCATGGCTGGTTGGCATTATGTTGTCAGGTTGTTCATCAGTCCGTCTGGCCCATTCTAGTGAACATGATCTCAGACGACTTGAGGGAATTTCATCAAATTTGGCACAAAGATCCAGTTGGACTCATGAATTAACTGATTACATTTTGGTGGTTAAAAGGTCACTGTGTCCTTCAGTCTGTGTCTTTCCTGTGATTTTGACTTGTTGGCAGAGGCATACACCCACAAAGTGGTAATTTTAGTCATATATACTGTATAACAGAAGATTGTGCAGTAACAAACTGAAGGTGCTTCTGAAATCTATAGACAGTCAGTGTTTTATTGTGGTGAAAGCCACCCACCTTCATTACAGTCTGGGTGACAGTTTGTTTGAAGGCTTTCTCCACGGTCTGGTACTCCGGAGAGGAAGGCTGCAGTGTGACCACCTTCAGATTTTCACCAGTAGCCATGTTGTCCCAGTACAGGGGAAGAGTGAGGTCTGCAACAAGTTAGAGAAGTTAATGAATAGAAAAATCTCAAACACTGAGAGAACCTCTGTTATGAGTGTTGTTTCCACAGACAAATCAAGTGAAATCTGATCTAAACTCATAAGTAAAATAAGTATAATACATTTGCAGGGTCTCAAAAAGGTTTAAGGACACAGCCTTCCAACACCTTTAAAGCTTAGTAATTAGCATGATAGAAATAACATTGAGCCAGCAGATAACTACCTTAGCTTAGACAGAGCTATAACACTTAGTGGAAATTAATTCCTGTTTTACCAGTGCTAACATGACAATCAGATCTAGTCTGTAAAAGTCCTCACCATCCAAACAATTCAGAACTTACTATGTTACAGTACTTATTACTCATCAAGAGCCATCTTCTCACCTGGCAGATTATTAAGTCGTTTAAGTTTTGCTGACTGTCCAGTTACTCGTCTTTTGGCCTCCATCCTCTTTAGATCCACACTCCATGGGATGCCCCGTGCGTCCAGTATTTCTTCGTTTACATCACTGCTTTCCAGCTTGCGATGGGCAATTTTGGGGAGTTTCTCCCAGTTGCCGCTGTGTTGCTGGATGCACCATGCCACATGAGTGTATAAATCTTCTTCCTCCTCCCTGACTGTCATCTCTCTCCTAATGTTACTGATAGTGTGAATCATCTGTATCATTTGTCTGACCCTATCTTCTAACCCTCTCACTGTTAAGCTGCCAGACTGGTCCCACTGAATGGAGAGACCCACAGTCTCCACCAGCTGCTTCAGATCCTTCATGTTGTTCTGGGTGAGGCTTTCCAGCTGCTCCTTAGTGAATGTGTGTGTGGAGCATTGAGTCAGATACAGGTCCTTCAGCTTCTTCATGGCATCATCAACATTTTTTTTGCAAAGACCCAGGAAATTGAAGATGGACTGCTGTTGACTTGTGGAGCTGGTTTGGAGGAAGCTTAAATCTGTGTTAACAGACACTGTTGAGTGTTGTGGCATATGAGGCAACTGAGACAATCGATCAAAAGATGATACTCAATAAATTTCAACCACAGGACTGATTTTAAAAAATGTATAAACAACCACAAAATGGATGACCTTGATGCTAAGATGAAACAAGAGTTGAATTGTCATTACCTGTCTTGATTTCCTTATGGGGAAACAACTGCATTGCTTGCTTTTTGAACACCAGGAAAGCATTGATGTTAATCAGGACTAGGCGGATGTTGGTGAGACAGTGGAGAGCAGTGGTTGACATGGCGGTGTTTAAGCCTCGGAGCATGGCTGATGCCACAACACCAGGGTCTAACCCACCAGTTCCTGGACAATCATTCCAACAAACAAAATTTCATAAATAAATTTTTGCTGGTGACTTGACATTTAAATTGTTTTTTTTATTTTTGTTGTCTCTTATCCAGTATTTACCAGCACAAATGGCAGGAATGGCCACAGACTTGTATTGAAAGGCTTCACAATGTTGAATTATGCGACACATTAATTGTTCAATGGCGCCTGCATAATATTCTCCATGCACATGTAGAATTGCTTTACAAGGAAATGATCCAGGTGGGGTTTTATAAACATCTCCTCGTTTCACCTTTGCTGCACACAAAACAGTAGAATAGATTTAAAGAGCTGTTGAGTGTGTGTGCTGTTTGGGAATGTGTAACTCGTCTCTTTTTCTCACCGTTTCTTAGTATCGTTGCCACATCTGGTCCAGCCACATTTAAGATATCTTTGCACAAACTATCTGTAGAAAAAAGACAACTGTTTAAAGTAATTGCCAAGTGATGTACATTGCAGTTCCAGTCTTCTGCCCACAAGAGTGCCCTGAAACCACTTAACATATATTACAAAAATCCTTCCAGCAACCTGCTGACTGGACTTATGTACCGTGAGCAGCTATGGCAGTTCTCACCTACCTGTCACAAAATCAGTGAAGTCAGTAATGTTCACAATGGCATCTGTTTTCTCATTAATGATGTTGCCAAACACCAGCTGTAGTTTAACCCTGCCCCCCACTGTCATGTTGATGTCATCAAGGTCACTACTGAGGGACCTGAAGGTTACTGAGAGGAAGAAAATATTTTCATATTTCAGTTGTTTTATCTGATGACTGAGGGCTTTTCAATTTTAACCTCTGACCAACTACAGTAATAAAATACTTCTTCCACAATAACACATCTGTTATTAGGTTGGTAACAGGTAAGCTAGTTTACCTTGGCCTCCCTGGGTCATGCTGAAGCTAAGGTAGACCTCATGGTAGCACTGTAAATACAAATCCATGTAGTAAACATTATGGCTTCATATGTGCATCTGCAAATCATGCATATAGGTGTAACCTGTCATGAAAGGACACCTGCCAGTCAAAGGACAAGGCTAAGATGTGCTAAGCATTGAAGCACCGTAGAAAGGGGACCTGCTGCTGTGTAACGGGTCAACTTTGATATTGAAGTAAACAATGAGCAGTGTAGCCTAATTACCTGACAGCAGTATTAGAGTTTAAAACCTTCAGAAATGCTGTTGATCAGGTGGTTTAAATAATAATGGAGTAAAATAAAACTGGCAGATTGGTTAATTGGTCAGTGTTTTATGTGGTTATACTTAAATATTCAATGCCAAAGGCACAGTTTAAGGATGTTTTATCATGTTCATTTGGCACGATTAGTTGGATCTAAGTGAGAGAAATGTCCAAGCAGTATGCTGTGTGTTTATACTTGTGCTAAATAGTTTTTGTAAAAGCATAATTCATGTTTATTCATTTTGGTGGTTCACAAGAATGTACTGTAGGTAAGGTATTGCCAAGTGAAAGGATAAATTGGCCAGGTTTGTTTTGGTAACTTTGTTTAAAACTACTGTAATTGTAGTTTAAGTTCTTTGTTGCTGGAACCAACAGTGGCATCATTTATTTCCACACATTGTTCTTTCTTATGTCCAGGTTTGTGAAACAGAAGTGATAGAGAACTGGAAAACAACAATGTATTGTTGCTCCATTTTGTGTAAAATGCGCTGACATACTGTAGTGGAACAGTGATCTACTCCATGCTTCTGTTTCACTTGGCTGTCACTGGCACTGTGGGGGGTGGGGACTCACAATGAATAGCAACCATGGCTGTACCAGCTTTTTGAATTTGTAAGTGTGAATGGCTTGTAATACCATCATATAGGCTGCTCCCAGCTCTACATGCACTAACTGTTTTCTGACTCTGCCTTGAAGACACATGACTTGACTCAGAAGACATTAGTGTATGACTGTGCCTCAAGTACAGTGATTCTGTGTTGCTAATGCTGTGACAAGTGAACTGTGGCAAAGGTTGAATTGATTCACAGATGGCATTTGATAATGAAAAGATAAATTTTGAAATATGGTTTAATTCTGTTACCTTTCTTGATCCTGATCTGAAATCTGCTCTGCACTTATTTATCACTAGTGCAATTAAAAGTATCTTACGGCACTATCCATGATAGGACCTTTGTGTTACACGTACGCATGGTTACTATAAAAGTTTTCTCACCTCAGAGTCAGGATAGTCAGGTTTAATGACGATGTGGATGTTGGAGAGAGACCCAGAAGATGTAGATAATCCAAACTGCCGAATGTTCTCATTCAAAACTTGAATGGCTTCTGTCAGTGGGTATTTTAACACCCTTCCAGGTCCAATAACTGGGAAGGCCACTGAACACCAGCCCTGCTGTACACAGAGGTCCAGACACTTTCTCAGCCCATTACCAAGAGCCTGCAAAACAAAAGTTGGACATTTTCTCAAAAAACAAATAATCATTTGTTCATTTATAGAGTAAAAATATCTAAACAAACCATTAAATTGTGCCATATCTTAAGAAATTATTAAAACAAGTCATTTAACATAAAATACTTCAGATTCTCATAACTGTTGTACTGAAGCTTGATGGCTTCCCCCCAATGGCACTTGTATTTCATGTCACATTTTAGTTTATAATGATTGATCAGTGATTGCTGACATACAGAACAAACAGACTTATCAGTGACCATTTAGCTACTAGACTAATACTAAATAGCTCCCATTGGCACAGAGAATGACTCTATGTGTTGCTGCTCTCCCGAGTTTCATATCTTTCTGGGTTTTTACAGCATTTTTTCTAAATAATTTTTTAGTTATTGTTGCTCTTATGAAAGCTAACTGCCTAAGTGTGGTAGCGCTTGTGACACATGCCACCAGCTCAGCTGAACTAGCTAAACCAGTTTGTGTGCTTGACTTAACCTTATGTTGACAGCATTGGGTTTTGTGCTATAAATAGGAATCCCAAATTCAAACACATCCATTGCCCTGCCCTGTCCTTTGTTAAACTCTCAAACACAGTTATGAGTCCCCCAGGTATTGTACTGTACCTGCACACTCTGCCCTCTGACTCCATCCCATGGCAGACATTCAATGAAATAGATTTTGGAGCAGCTCAGAGATCGAGACCCATCAACCTCCAGGACATCACCAGGGACAACGTTACACCTGGCTGCCATCTGGTCAAAATTTATCCTGACTGCATCGCCTGCTTTCCTCAACAGATCTGCACCAATTTTAGTAGAAGTCAGCTTTTTGTTGATCATGGGGACCACCAACACATCCACCTGTGGAAATGATGCATTGATTTGTAAATGAGGTGCATTGTTGTTTGATTTAAAATAGAACAGAATAAAATGGAAGTAGTCTCACCTGCTCATCTATCAAACTGCAAAGCTTGATTGCTAGATTGATTGTGTTGACCTCCATGCTGCAGCACCCTCCTGTGATGGAAAGGCTGGGTCTGTTTAGACTTGTGGTTAGTGGTAGAGTGTTCACATCTGGGGAGTCCACTTTTTGCTGTTCAGTGATGAGAACATGACAAGAACTCTCCACCAGCTCCTTGCTCACTTTACCGTCTGATTGGAAGTACCGCTGAGCTCCTGGTCCTTCAAGAATCAGTGTGTCTGATGTAAGACTGGCTAGAGCTGTGCTTAAGGTTGCCTTACTTTCCTGGACCAGGCAACGAGGGCCAGAAATGGACACACAAGCACATGGAAAATGTGAGGCGTTTAATGTCACCTTGGTCTGCTTCATCCCAATCAGGTCTAATACTTTATCAAAGCAGTCGACCAGTTCAGGAGACAGGTTCAATGTCTCTTGTGTCCTGATATGGTTCATCTGGTAGTCATGCAGAACCTCTTTCAGCTTGTTCACATTTTCACTGTACCCCACAAGTCGTACCTCTGTGGTTCCAGTGAGTCCTGGGATGAAGCTGACATCCACTCTGAACCTTCGACTGTTCACCAGGTCTTTGGTTTTAATGAGAATTTCCTTCACACTATCAAGACCTGGAGGTATAGCTGCAGCACCCTGCAGTTTCACAGTGTCCACACTCAGGTCTCTCATTATTGCTGCCTCAGCCTCGTCCAGAGCGCCAGAGGACAAACTGAACAGGACCAGGTCAGATACAGCCTCTAGGAAAACTGTTTTTTTGAGGCTCTGCTGGAAATGAGCCTGGTACTTAGAGATGGCATCACTGGATTTTATGAAGACCATCAAATCTGTCGGGAGCTTCATTCTCTTTTCCGCTACTTTTTTCATCAGGTCACCAAGTTTTGTAGCTCCTGAATGCACCTGGTTGTCAGGGCCCTCTAATGTGATCATGGCATTACCTCTGTATATTTTAACTTCTGGGCAATGTGTTTGCATTTCTCGACTAAACTCTTTTTCTATCAGTTTGAACTGCTTTTCTCCAATTGGCAGTTCCTTCCAGATTAGTGTATTCTTTTCCAGGAGTGCAATTTTCTCCTTCACATCTTCCGTCTCTCCCACATCCATTTGTGACTATTTTACTTTTATCGCCCACCCTGGGTCGCATGGGTAGACTTGTTGTGTGTTTTTGTTTAGGAGCAAGCTGAGCACTCACTGGAGGCTATCTGTTGTATGTTTTTTTTCCTCTGTGACCAGCAATAAAGGGTCCCGTGAATAGCAAGTGTGTCGGTCCATGTGTCCCAAGCTAACACAACGCAGCACGGCCAGTCACCAGAGGGACAGGCGGGGGGGACTAAGAGGACAGTATAGAGACCCAAAGGCGACCGGTTACATAAACGATAAAAAAAAAAAAATAAAATAAATGTAAAAGTACATTTTTGTGTTGCCACATAAGCCAGCACAATAACATAAGCAACATTTTGATAATCAGATGTCGAGTCTACTCAGAAATCCCTTCAGACTGGTCTGGTCACATCGTCTAGCTCCAGCGTTTGTGATTACCATAATCATCACAGTGTCAGTCACATTTTCTAAAGCATAATGTTAACTCACCTGGTCCAGTGGCTCATCAGGGGTGTTTGGTGAACTGGTTCTGCTCACGGTCAGATGTAGCTCTCCAGAGGGAAGTAAGATATTGTGAAACTTCCTTTTCAAAACCCTTTCCTGGTCTGAAAATAGTAGTGAAGTAGCAACAAAAGCCTGAATTTAAACTAAAAGTGCATTTATATATACATATACACTTTGACATATATTCCAGCTATATTTTTAACACAAAGTGATTCCTTACCTTCTTTTTCCTTGAAACAGATTTTATAGATGTTGCCTCCAGCCTTCTCAATCTCGCCACAGCTGCCTCCCCCAGAATCCCTACTTTCCAGCATTTTCTTCGGTTTTGGTATTTTGTGTTTCTGATCTCGGACTGTTACCTCGGACTATTCTATTCTGCCTCGCCCACTTGTTATGAACTGCCATGGTGTATGATTAATTTCATCCATCCTGCCTCAAATTCTGAACCTTAAGTGAAACTCTAACTTCCACTTCTCTGTGTGCTGCTCTCTTGAATGAATCGTGTGGTTAGCACTGCTCTTCTTTCACTTTCATTTACTGTACTTTTGCCTCTTCCCTGTAATGAAGTGTTTGCAAATGGACACACCCCACAAGATCAGATTGCAAGTGTAGGTGACTTTCTTCCTCTTTGTCTTGTTGTAGATACTGTTGTCAGTGATACAGTAATGCAATGATGATAACACTGATGATGCAACTCTCAGCAAGGAAGAAAGATGATGTGTTCCTTTCTTTCCAGAACCCTTTCCTGTCTAAAAACATGTCAAGGACAACAAAGTCCTACTGAAACAAGCCCACGTTTCTATTAAAACAGCTACATTGTGTTTATAACTTGTTTGAACCTTATGGAAATTCTTAAATTCATTATGCACAAATTAGACAGGCATTGTCTCCAACTTTTTCTATCATTCTACATTCACTCCCCCCAGAGCTGTTTTTTATAAAAGTGTTTTCTGATCATTTTGCTCTCTCTGCCCATAAACTCTTTGGCTTCAAAGAACAGTGGTTGTTGATGTTCATCCATTTTTCCCCAATTTCAGGATTTAAAATAAAACTTTGAATCTTTTACATGGCAAGCTGTACATCGCCCAGCTCCTTTAAGGTGAAGTGAGCTCTGACTTGTTTTGAATTTCTTTCAGGTTGTATTTTTAGCATTTTTATGTTCATTTCCTTATAATTAGATCAGGTGTTTGCAAATACACTAGCCCAAATGGTCACTTTTAAATGGGACATTTCGCTGGTTAGTCGCATTGCATGAAGCATGATCTGATGAGGAAGATAAAATTGATGGGGATGAAGTAATGATGATGGTGATGATGATGATGATGGCTGCAAACCAGGATGTTGTAGTTCATAATTTCATGTGTCGTAATTTCCCAGCGTAGAAAATAAAAATAACCAAAACGGAGAAGCACCATCACACAAAAGATTCTGAGGTAAACCTGACATCCTACATTACCACTTCAAACCACTAGATGTCCTCATCAGACTTAAAAATAACTGATACAAAAAGAATTGACAATAAAACAGCAGCTTACATTCTCCCAGTACAAAGAGTCATCACAACCTCATAGAGTGACATTAACAGCCCAGTAATATTTGCACAAGAGGTCATAAACATACCAGGTCAAATAACCAGATATGATCTGGTTATTTGCACAATCTCAATACTGTGTTTACTTTGACATGGACAATCAGAGCCTTTGTTATTTTTCCTGTAGCCTGCACACAGTGGTCCAGAGCACAGAAAACTGACACCCCACTGAGAAAAGACTATTCAACTGCCATATAGATAGATACTTTATTACAGACTCGAGGTCCAGATCCATAAATACTAAAAAAAAAAAAACAATAAAAACCATAAAACAGTCAGCAATAAATAACAATAAAAAAAACAACCACCACCACCAATAAACAACTACCCTTTTAAAAGGCAGGTATACCAGTGTTTCCAAAGTACTGAAGTATATTACATATCACTATATGCAATATTAGTCAGCAATGAAACTATGTTGTTTCCAGAACTATTCAAATGACAAATAAATTTGTGCATCAAATTTCTTAAAACAGCAGATAGTGTACTGATCCGAGATGACACAAACAATTCACTGGCACTCATCCATCTAGGCCATTTCAATAATAACCTCAAGGCGTCATTTTAGGCCACTGTCAGTTTCCTAAGACTGCCTTTTTTATAATTAGACCATAGATGTGCAGTGTACAGGGAGTACAATACGCTTTAAACAGAGTCAATTTTACTCCATCCGAACGCAAGCCAAATTTCCGAACCAACACATTTGCTTGTGCAGACAACATGCGGCACTGCCGACCCCAAACAGAGAACATACATTCAAGAGTTGCTGAAGACCTGCTAAGCTGGGCCTAAAAATCACCAGATCATCTGCATACATTAAATGATTCACTATTGTATCTCCAACCATACATCCCGTTCTACACATATGTAGCTCCTCAGAGAAACCATTCATATAAAAATTAAACAAAATCGGGGACAACAGACTACCTTGCCTTACCCCGTTACAGGTCTGAAAGGGTGCAGATATACAATTACCCCATCTGACACACATAGTCTGGTGGGCATATCAATATGACAAGCACCTTACAATATATTTAGGCACTCGAGCGTCACACAGTTTCTGGAATAGCTTCCTATGATTCACTCGATCAAAAGCTTTAGAAGCATCTAAAAAACACATAAATACGGTAGAATTTTTACTTTAAAAGAACTAGTCAGTAAATATAAAAGCAAAAATATACATATCAGTGCCATGATTGGCTTTAAACCTAAACTGATTATCAGTAGAGCCAATAAGATTATGAAACCTACTCAAGAGAATTTCTTCAACAACTTTAGAAAGTATGTTAGCAAGTGCAATGGGTCTGATATGAACAAGAGGTACATGTGATCAAAATTTGTACAAGTGCATCTGTTCCAAACAAAATAGCATGTCACTAAATAACTGAAACTCAAAGGTCCACTTATTCAGGGGCTTTTAATGTGTCTCACAGGTGACCAGGATGTTCCATATTTGTTTCAAGTGATGACAAATGAGCCGGTTTCATTTCGTGAGGAAGGCTGTCAGATGTAGTTAAAAGCTCTGGTAAAAGGGCAAATTTGGATCGTTTTCTTTTTCTTTTCTTTTTTTTATAAAATGAAATATTAATAAGTACTAGTAGGTGTAAAGGTGTAGTCTGGAAAGGTTGGATTTCAGATTTCTGCTGTTGTGACTTAGCTGGACGGTTGGCTACACCATCGTGTCACTGGTGATGTACAGGTCTCTGTGCAGACATCTCTTCCACTGAAGCAACACAAATTCAGTCTTATCTACAGTCAGCTTTAGATGGTGCTTTGAATTCAGCCTCAAGAGATCCACAGGCAAACCGTGGGACCCGTTTCCACTTGAGGGATACAGCTGGTGATAGTGGTAGATTAAGGACCAGTAAAAGCTGGCAAGGTGCCAGTATTGGCTCCACAGGGAGAAGAAAGTGGAGACAGAGGAGACACAGGGGTATCAGTTCCCAGATTGAACCTGAGCTGCCCAAAAGGGTAATTGAGCTATTGTTGCTGTTAGACTGGCCCCAGTAGAACTGACCAAGGGGGCACTTATATTAGTCAGAGGGGCACTTGGGAGATGCATACTCTTACCAGAGGGCAACTGAACTATCCAAAGGTGTACTTAGGTGGCATATGGTCTCACCAGAAGATACTGGGGGGCACTTTGGCTCATCAAAGTGAAGTTTACAAGTTTACTTGAAGAAAGGTTGTTGAGGTTGCTGCTTCTGTGTGGTGCAACATTCTCTCACTATTATGACCCTGACAAAGGTATGAAGTGTGAACTGAGCCTTGGCGTGTTAGTAGTACACAGCTAGACATGAGAAAGTCGGCAGCACAATAGGAGATGGCTTTCAACTCTGTCATACCGGGGGAACTGGTATCACCAATAATAATAAACATGTTATTCAAACATACTGAACTGAAATTTGATTGGATGAATTTCTCCATAGAGAAATTTTAAGTTAAGCTCAGATGAAAGCCCCCAGAGCCGACAGCAACCGCAGGCGAAGAAATCATGTTTATCTGATGAAAACATTTCTGAATTCAAGGTGCACTTACAAGCTATTTTCCATAACCTTCAATTGTGTCCC